GGCAGTCTTCAAGCTGGCACTGGACAAGCACCTAAAGTCAGTTCCGGATCAGCCGGGCTGTGGCTCGTATGTTGGTTTGCGTGCAGCCAGCAGCAACAGCCTGGTTGATCAGGCTCTGATCCACCAGGAAGCCTGGTCTCAGACCGGGCCGCGGGGGCGTTGACCCCCGGAACTCTCTCCAGGTAAACTCCAGGTAAACACACACCTGGTTAAGATTCTACTGGCAGATCAGCAATAGGGATAGGCTTAGGCATGATAATATTGCGCTTTCACTGAAAATCACTGCCTTTCCTTTTCTGTAAAAATTTCCTTTTTGTGTAGTGGGTTTGACATCTAGCAGAACCACACAAGACATTGCATTTTGTGAAAACAGTAATAATAATCCCCAGACATTTCAAATCCTTGAAACATACACTGAGGAATTCTAGTGAATTGTTAAATACAAAAATGTAGTAGTTGTTTGCTAGGGAATGGGTTCAAACGGCATTACAAAGTCATCACATCAAGTCATAGTTTTTGCTTATGCCCAAATAAGACTATGTACAAGTTTGATAGTTACCTGCACAAAAATATGAAAATAGGTGTTAAGAAGAAACAAAGGGCAGATACAAAAGATTGGGGAAAAATAGGTGTTTGAAGAATAGAGTAGCATTAAAAACAGTATGACAGACCAAGCACACAAACTGAGACCTCTTTATTTTTTCTTCTAAAATATATAGAACATATTAGTTATGCTGAATATAGCTCTTCAACGGGGGCTCCTTGGCGTGGTGAAGAGGCTCTTGGTCTGGATCACCTGGGGATGTCCCGATCCCTCTCCAGTATCCCGGAGGGTGGCTTTGGGTGTCTTTCGGGTGAAAGGTGTATCTCTGGAAGCCAACTTTCGGATTCCAGGGATGGTGGCCGAAGGAGGTATGCTTTGTGGCGGATATCCGGCCGCCCTCTCTTTTGTCCACCAAGGTAGCTCAGCAGATGTGAGGTTGCTATCCCGGATTGCTGGTTTACTGGCATGAAGGGTAGGGTATGGCACGGGTTCCATGCTGCATCTGCCCTACTTGCAGTGCTGAGGTCCTCTTGGGCGCGGAAGGAGATTTCTGGCCCTTTCATTCCTCCTGGGAACTATCCCTCCCTGGTCCCCCCTTTTTTTATTCTTTTTTTTATTTTTATTTTCTTTTCTTTTCTTTTTTTTTCTTAAAAACAAAAAGAAAGAAGTAACCTAACCATGGAGTCCCAAATCCATGACCCCGCTACTCTCGGGCCCCTTATTGTTACCGCACCCCGTTCTGACCTCGCCTCATCTTTTGGCTACTCTTCGGACATTCCTAAGGCCCCTGTGCCTCTTGCTGGTGCTGTTTCCTCACCCGCTTCAGGTACTGGGGCTTCCACTGACTCCTTCGATTTGTCTGACCTCCGCTCTCTTTTGACTATGCTTCCAGCTTCTCCCTCTATGGTGCGGCAATTTTCGAATCGCCAGCCCGTCCCACGTCGGACCGACTCTGGTCCCACTTCTAAATGTCAACGACAATCTCCTAATGATGTTACTTCATTACCTTCCCTTTCTACTCTGAAAAAACCGACACGTCATGCACTCCCTCTCCACACTCAGTTTCAGACCACACAATGGACTAAATTCTTTACATTAAGACCGACTTCTTCTACTGCCTATCTTTCCGACCATAGTATTGGCAAAGCGCTCCTATGCCACATTGGTAGAGATATTTCCTTTCATGCTCTTAAGAGTGGTACGCGCATCATCACAGTCCAGAATTCTACCCAAGCTCATGATCTTTCTCTTTTTTCACACACATCGATACTATTCCTATCACTATCGAAAAACATCATTCTCTCAATTCTTGTAGTGGTACTGTTATTCTGCCCCATACCATAGTCCAACAGAATTTCCAGACATGTGGCACTGACATTCTCAAACAGCTGGAACTCCAAGCTCTCCCAATTCTCAAGGTAGACACTTATGTTCTTCCTGCCCTCGGGCTCGTTTAACTTTTGACAGCCGTGAACTCCCATCCTCTTTTCATGTAGCAGGACATCGGTTACAAGTTCGGAAGGTGATCCCTACACCGCAACAGTGTAGGAATTGCTGGCGATTTGGCCACCCAGCAAAATATTGCAGATCTATAGCCGAATGCCCAGTCTGTGGTGCCAATGACCATTCTAATACGTCTTGCAGTCGAACTCCCTCTTGCCTCAATTGTCATGAGGCTCACTCTTCGTACTCTCGTCGTTGCCAAGTCTACTTAAATGAGCAGGAAATTCGTTGCCTCAAAGAGGCAGAAGGTTTCCCTTATGCTATGGCAGTTTCTCATCTCCGCCTCCAAGGGAGGCTGCCCCGTGTTTCTTATTCTCATGTTTCAAAGCGTCCCCCCACTTCTGGGGTCACATCTTCTGCAGCCTCCTCTGCGGTTGCCAGTCCCATAGTCACTCTTGTATCTAATTCTTTTGCTGTCCTGGGCTCAGACATCCCTACTTCAACTCCTCAGTCTGTCCTCACTTCTTCGTGTCCTCCCTCACAAACCCCGGTATCGACAAGACCTCATACGACACCTCCTCCCAATCGTCCCTCTACTTCTCAGAGGCCCAAAAAATCTCCTTTAACCCCTCCTTCCCTTCATCCACCTCCACATTTTACCTTCCCGGTCTCTGTACCTAGGTCTTTTCCTTTCACTGGCTCTGTTACAAGTGTGGAGGTTCATCCTCCTCCTCGTACTGTGCCTTCCTCCCCTGTCCCCTCCCAAGTTTCTTCCTCTTCTGCCACCTCCCAGGTTTCTGCCTCTTGTGTCCCCTCCCACACTTCTCCAGTTCCCTCCACCCTTTCACCCCCCCTACCTTGGTACAGTCCATTACAGCCCCGATCTTTACTCAAACTCCTCCCCCTTTCCCATCTCCAATTTTGTCTCCCATACGACGTCTCTGAACTCCGAAACACTTGAAGCAATCTCTAAATACATTGCAGAGACCAAACCGTCAATGGACACTGATCCACCCTCTGTTCCTTCTCTTTCCTCTTCTCCATCTGCGAAAACTCCTTTTTTCACAACACACCATTCCTTCGCTACTTGAACGTTTTCCTTTGCCACCACATGTGGACTTTTCTAACCCCTCTAGTCCGTAGGTACCCTTACCTGCGGATTTCAGGTACCTTTATCGTTGCCAATCATGGCCTATTTACAGTGGAATATTCGCGGCCTCAGGGGTAATCGGGGTGAACTTCAGATGTTGCTCTCCCAGTTTTCCCCTGTTGGTGTTTGCTTACAGGAACCAAAATTACACTCTGCCGTTATCTATCCTATCTCAGGCTATAATTTATTGTATTCTTCAGATCCTTTTCCTGATAGGACCTTTAATGAAAATGCCCTTCTTCTACGCACTGATATTCCATACCATCAGCTATTTGTTCTTACTTCGCTGCATTACACAGCAGCCCGTATCCACTTGCATAGGTGGTATACACTCTGTTCATTATATCTCTCTCCTTCTCGGGCATTATCTATCCCGGATATTGCCTTTCTTGTTTCATATTTAGACACACACAACAGTCTCTCCACTCGTCAATATGGCTTTCGTAAGGGCCGTTCTACCATAGACCCCTTACTAAGCTTGGATACGTATGTTTGTAATGCCTTTGTGAATAACCACTCAGTTATTGCCATATTTTTTGACCTTGAGAAGGCATATGACACAACTTGGATGTATAATATTTTGGCCCAAGCCCACTCCTTAGGCCTTCGAGACAATCTACCATCCTTCCTTAAGAACTTTTTAACTGACAGGCATTTCCATGTTCGGGTTAATAATGTGCTCTCCCCGGACTTTATCCAAGCTGAAGGTGTCCCCAGGGATGTGTTCTGAGCACAACACTTTTTCTCCTTGCTATAAATGATTTGGCCTCTAGTCTTCCATCCAATATTTGGTCATCACTCTATGTCACTCTATGAAGTTCCAGCTGTTCGAGTCTGTTCTCTCTCACTCCCTTGCTCGAAAGTCCAACTGTCTACGGTAGCTTCCTGCTCTCTTTTTCTTGACCACTTCCACTCTCATTCTCATGCCAATGCAGTGTACACAGATGGCTCTAAGTCTTCTGATGGCATAGGATTCACAGCAGTGTTTCCGGACAGCGTCGTACGAGGGCATTTACTATCTTCGGCTAGTATCTTTACTGCTGAATTGTATGCCATTCTTGCAGCACTTATCCGTATTGCATCTATGCCTGTGTCATCATTTGTGGTTGTCTCAGACTCCCTAAGTGCTTTACAGGCTATACAGAAATTTGATACACCTCACCCCTTAGTCCTCCGTATCCAACTTTGGCTACGCCGTATCTCTTCCAAGCATAAAGATATTGTGTTTTGTTGGGTCCCTGGTCATGTTGACGTACAGGGCAATGAACAGGCAGACACTGCTGCGCGGTCAGCAGTACATGACCTACCAGTTTCATATAGAGGTGTTCCATTTACGGACTATTTTGCTGCAATAGCTACCCACCTTCACACCTGTCGGCATCAACGTTGGTCTACAAACTTCAATCTATTAAACCGAGTATAGGTTACTGGCCGTCTTCTCGTCACCAGTGTCAAGGTTGGGAGACTACTCTCTCCCGTCTTCGCATTGGCCATACTCGTCTTACTCATGGTTTTCTCATGGAGAGGCGCCCTGCTCCTCTCTGTGAGAATTGTCAGGTTCCATTATCGGTTAGCCACATTCTATTAGACTGCCCACTTTATCAACGAGAATGCAGAATATACCTCCAACGTCGTCTTCGCTCTGCTGCTCTCTCTTTACCTTCCCTTCTCGCTGATGGACCCACCTTTCATCCGGACACTCTCATTGACTTTTTGACAACAACTGACTTACTTCACAAACTCTGATGATACCTTCAGCCCTTTCTACCTCAATTTCTTGCTGCCCTCTACCCCCGCACTATCCCCTGCCCCGCTGTTTTCTGTAACCTACTGATCATCCCTTCCCCCTTCTACCGCCCAATACCCTCGCTTCCTTCCCTACCCTGCAGCACTGTATAGCCCTGGTGGCTTAGCGCTTCTTTTTGATAATAATAATAATATGCTGAATATATAAAGTGCACCAGTACAATGAATACCTGCTCCATAGTACGTACACCTACCATCCGACTTACGACCTGCTCGACTTACGACGACTCGACTTACGACCATGTTTTTTATGCCAAATTTCTGGGAAATAAACAAGTGTTTGTGTTGTACACAGTATTTATCCTAAACCTTACAGTATAAAATACAGTACTAACAGCATAAAAAGTAAAGAAAAACATGAAATACCAAAATAAAACAATAAAATAAAGTCATTACAAAAACGTTATGCTGATATTCAGTAGTAAAGTTTGACTTAGGACCATTTCGACTTACGATTGGTTTCTCGGAACCGAACTCGGTCGTAAGTCGGATGGTAGGTGTACTTGTAAATTATGTAAAACCTTGCATTTTTATTTTAAATCTTAAATATTTTTTTATGTAAAGTATGTGGTTAAAATTGAGCTAATTACCTGTCTAAATAAGTCAAGCGTAGACTCAACTTGAGACAAGACTGTTGGTGCAGTGGCAAAGCTTCTGAGGGCATCGAGGTGGTTGAGCGTAACAAGCAGGAGGTCCCCAGGCTGCCGACAGAGCAGTACCTGCTGCTTCACAGACATCACCATCAGATCATACAGCTGAACCAACCAGTTTTAGTGCTTAGTTTGATTTTTATTATTACAGCTCAACCATAATTATATGTATACCAGTCAAACAAAAGTAAGCATAATACTGTATATTTATAGTACTAGTAGTGCATCCCATTTCAATGACCCATATGAATCATTTAGCACAGGGAACAATGGAGGTTCAATCCTCCAATCTCTAACTGCATCCTCTGACCAGCCAAGTTAAACACTACATTATATATTTGCATATAAATAATACATGTTAACTTATAGAACACCATATAGTACAGTAGAGGAACAATATAATGTTAGTGTACAAGTAAACAGATCAAACTCTAGGTGGTTATCTGAGCATAGCATCTAATTATGCCCAAAACAGACTACAATGATAAATAAAAATGATACAGATAACACTACTGTAGAAATATAAAAAATAACAAAATGTCATTTAGTTCATTATGGTCAATGTATTCAAATAACAGAGAACCAGAATCATTGAAAAAAAAAGTAAGGGTAATTAGGTAGTACAGTTCTGCACTAGGGTAACATAACCCCCTTCCCATTAAAAAAAAGAGCTGTATAGTCCTTGTGGCTTAGCGCTTCTTTTTGATTATAATAATAATAATAATAATAATAATTAAAAAAAAGAAAAAAAGCTCACAGTTTTACCTTGTCCATGCTTGGGGTATTGAGGCGCATGATAGAGGCATGAGCCAGCTTGTCAAAAACAGTACGAAGAGCTCGTCGGCTGTACAGCTCTTGTGGCTTAAACAGCTCATCCACAAAGCGACGGTTCAGCATAATGCTAATGATGTCATTACGTACTGTTGGTGAAACAATTTATTTTATCAATAATCTCTCCCAATATATAAAATTATATATATATAATATAATAATATAATATTATATATAATATATATATATATTATATATATATATATATATTTATTATAATTATATATATATATATATATATATATAAATATATTATATATATATATATTATATATATATTTAAAATATATATTATATAAATATAGGGAGGTACCACCTCTAGAACTGTAATGGGGACCCTCATCCTCAGAGAAAAGAATAAACTTGCTTCAGGGAAAACTCAAGATTCTCCCTGAAGCTGTTTGAGAATTTTCCCCTACCACCCCCTTTATTATGTAATTATTTTATTTATATATTTTTAAAATATATATTAAAATTTTATATATATATATATTTTATATTTATATATTTTAAATATTTTATATATATATAAAATATATTTATATATTTTTATATATATATAATAATTTTAATTTTTTATATTATAATAATTATATATATATATATATATATATATATTTTAATATAATATATATATATAATAAATATATAATTTTTTTTTTTTCCAAGTCGGCCGTTTTCCACCGAGGCAGGGTGACCCCAAAAAGAAGAAAATCCCCAAAGAAAAATACTTTCATCATCATTCAACACTTCAACCCACTACACACTTTCATGTTTTTGCAGAGGTGCTCAGAATACAACAGTTTTGAAGCATATACGTATAAAGATACACAACATATCCCTCCAAACTGCCAATATCCCAAACCCCTCCTTTAAAGTGCAGGCATTGTACTTCCCATTTCCAGGACTTGAGTCCGACTATATGAAAATAACCGGCTTCCCTGAATCCCTTCACTAAATATTACCCTGCTCACACTCCAACAGATCGTCAGGTCCCAAGTACCATTCGTCTCCATATAGTACATATATACATATATATATATACATATATACATATACAGTGGACCCCCGCATAACGATCACCTCCGAATGCGACCAATTATGTAAGTGTATTTATGTAAGTGCGTTTGTACGTGTATGTTTGGGGGTCTGAAATGGACTAATCTACTTCACAATATTCCTTATGGGAACAAATTCGGTCAGTACTGGCACCTGAACATACTTCTGGAGTGAAAAAAATATCATTAACCGGGGGTCCACTGTATATATATATATATATATATATATATATAATTATATATATTATATTTAATATATATTATATATATATATATTTAATTTGATTTCCATTTTTCTTATGGGGAAAATTAATTGCCTAACGATAATTTCGCCTAACATTGAGCTCTCGGGAACGGATTAATAGCATTAGGCGAGGGTCCACTGTATATATATATATATATATATATATATATATATATATATATTTTATATATATATATATATATATATATATATCACACACACAACATACAACGGGCCTAGTGTCTAATCAACATGTGCCTAGTACAAAATGGTAACTAACTAACTAACTGGTGGACCAAGCAGGGATAACAGGGAAGGCACTACCATGGATCAAGGAATACTTGTCAGGAAGACAGCAACGAGTATTGGTACGTGGCAAGGTGTCAGAGTGGGCACCTGTGACCAGCGGGGTCCCACAGGGGTCAGTCCTAGGACCAGTGCTGTTTCTGGTATTTGTGAACGACATGACGGAAGGAATAAACTCCGAGGTGTCACTGTTTGCAGATGACGTGAAGTTGATGAGAAGAATTCACTCGATCGAAAACCAGGCAGAACTACAAGGGATCTGGACAGGCTGCAGAAACCTGGTCCAGCAATTTGGGTCCTGGGTTCAATCCACCAAGTACAAAGTCATGAAGATTGGGGAGGGGCAAAGAAGACCGCAGACGGAGTACAGTCTAGGGGGCCAGAGACTACAAATCTCACTCAAGGAAAAAGATCGTGGGGTGAGTATAACACCAGGTACATCTCCTGAAACGCACATCAACCAAATAACTGCTGCAGCATATGGGCGCCTGGAAAACCTCAGAACAGCATTCCGACATCTTAATAAGGAATCGTTCAGGACCCTGTACATCGTGTACATTAGGCCCGTGTTGGAGTATGCGGCACCAGTTTGGAACCCACACCTAGCCAAGCATGTAAAAAAACCAGAAAAAGTGCAAAGGTTTGCAACAAAACTAGTCCCAGAGCTAAGAGGTATGTCCTACGAGGAGAGGTTAAGGGAAATCAACCTGACGACACTGGAGGACAGGAGAGATAGGGGGACATGATAAACGACTTACAAAATACTGAGAGGAATTGACAAGGTGGACAAAGACAGGATGTTCCAGAGACTGGACACAGCAACACGGGGACACAGTTGGAAGCTGAGACACAGATAAATCACAGGGATGTTAGGAAGTATTTTTTTCAGCCATAGAGTAGTCAGGAAGTGGATAGTTTAGGAAGCGATGTAGTGAAGGCAGGATCCATACATAGCTTTTAAGCAGAGGTACGTAAAGCTCATGGTTCAGGGAGTGACCAGTAGCGACCAGTGAAGAGGGGGGCCCCGGAGCTTGGACTCGACCCTGCAACCTCAACTAGGTGAGTAACAACACACACACACACACACACACACACACACACACCACACAACACACACACACACACACACAACACACACAACACACCACACACAACTCACACTCACACACTCACACACTCACACACACAAACACACTCACTCACACACTCACACACTCACACACACACACACACACTCACTCACACTCTCACTCACACTCTCACTGTGTGTTTATATTTAACACACTGGCCACCTCCCACCAAGGCAAGGTGACCCATAAAAGAAACTGACCAACATTCACACTATCACTGTCTTGTCATGTATATACACGTATGTATGTAGGTACTGGACCTCAAACAAACCAGAGTCCAAACAATTTTATTCGGAAAAAAATTTACCCTGTCTTTAAACATATTTCTGGAGTCCGAACATGCCAGCTTGTTTACATTTAGCTGTAAAAATAACTTTACAGGAAAGCCCTATTTAAAAAGTGCTCTGAAGTTACCTTTGACATTGACATAACTCTCTGAGACTTGGAAAAGTCAGTTCAACATCTTCCAGTGTGAGGTTGATAATTAAAGCCTGGGAAATACTGTTTCGGACATCAAAACTTTTCACAGTTCAAACTATCATATTTGTGTGCCTCTGTAAAGACAGTGATTGAGTGATGGTAAAAGTGTTTCTTTTTTGGGTCACCCTGCCTTGGTGGGAGATGGCCGACGTGTTAAAAAATTATATATGGAGTTGTAGGAGAAGTGAATCCTCAGGTGTTGACAAAAGGTGTGGTATTAAGAGATAAAAAATATAACATAAAGTGAGAGTTGTCACAGATGCTTTTTGCCAATGGCACTGCTTTTGGGAGATTCTGAAGAGAAGTTGCAGAGGTTGGTGGCCAAGTCTGGAAGGGTATGTAAAAAAAGGAAATTAAAAGTGAATGTAAGAAAGAGCAAGGTGATGAGGATAACAAAAAATTTAATTAAAGATTGGATATCAGATTAGAGGGAGGGAGTATGAAGGAAGTGAATGTTTTCAGATATTTGGGAGTGGACTTGTCAGGAGATGGGTCTATGAAAAATGAGGTGAATCACAGAATTGAGGGGAAAAAGGCGAGTGGTGCACTGAGGAGTGTGTAGAGACAATGTTATCCATGGAAGCAAAGAGGGGAATGTATGAGAGCATAGTGGAACCAACACACTTATATGGATGCTAAGCATGGGTGGTGAATGTTACAACAAGGAGAAGGCTGGAGGCAGTGGAGATGTCATGTCTGAGGGCAATGTGCAATGTGAATATAATGCAGAGAATCCATAACATGGAGATTAGGAGGAGGTGCAGGGTTTCTGAAAGTATTATCCAGAGGGCTGAGGAGGGGTTGTTGAGGTGGTTTGGACATTTAGAGACGCTGGAATAAAATAGAATGACTTGGAGGGCATATAAATCTGTAGTGGAAGGAAGGTGGAGGTAGGGATCATCATAGGAAAGGTTCGACGGAGGGAAGGAGGTAAAGAAGGTTTTGTGTTCAAGTGGCTTGGACTTCCAGTAAACGTGTGTGAGCATGTTAGATAGGAATGGAGAAATATGGTTATTATGACATGACATACTGTTGGAATGTAAGCAAAGTAACATTTATGAAGGGATTCTGGTAAACCAGTTAGCCGGTCTTGAGTCCTGGAGGTGGAAAGTACATTGTATGCTCTCTGAAGGAGGGGTGTTGATATGTTGCAGTTTTTAACTATGTATAGTGTAGGTGTGCCTCTGGCAAGACATTAATAGAGTGAATGATGATGAAAGTGTTTCTTCTTTTTCAGGTATCCCTACCTCTGTGTGTGTGTGTGTGTATGTATGTATGTATATATATACACATCATGCAGAATTGGTAAAACTTGCAATTTTGGCTTAAATAGCAACACTCTTCTTGCCAAATAAGGCAAGCAAAAATTTGTGTATATAATAATTTCGCAAAAGATCATTCTGAACCTAACGAAAATATATTTCATTGTATTTGTTTATTATTAAATTACTGTAAACTTATCTAAAACATATTTAGTTGGATTTGGCTAAATTAAATTGTGCTTGTTATAATAAGGCTAGAAAATTTTTTTAAGGTTCTTTTGGTAAAAAAATATTAATTTTTACATTAGCATAAATGAAAAAATATATATCTTTAAACTTGTAAGAGAAAATTTTAGAAAAGACTTAATTTTAAATGAGTTCTTACTAGCTGACCAGTTTTACCTATTAGGCACGATATATATATATATATATATATATATATATATAATATTATATATATATATATATATATATATATATATATATATATATATATATATATATAATATATGGAGGGATATGTTGTGTATCTTTATACCTATATGCTTCTGAACTGTTGTATTCTGAGCACCTCTGCAAAAACAGTGATAATGTGTGAGTGTGGTGAAAGTGTTGAATGATGATGAAAGCATTTTCTTTTTGGGGATTTTCTGTCATTTTTGGGTCACCCTGCCTCGGTGGGAGACGGCCGACTTGTTGAAAAAAAAAAATTATATATATATATACACATAAAGTAGCAATAGCTTGAGTAGGTGGTCACGACTCACCAGGTATGTCCAACCATAGCTGGGGCTTGTAACCCTTCAAGGGAGGTTCCTTGAAGTTGGTGAAGGGCTTTTGTTCCAAGGAATTGGACCTGTGCTCCCCTTAGATCAAACCTTAATGCCTCCTGCTCACCTAGATGCTGTATGATTCCTTTGTAACAATAATAACGTGAGGAAAAAACATGAAACTGGTGATATTTGTGTGAGAGTAAGGTGTGATGAGAGAGTAAATTAAACTTAAAAAATGGTTAAAGGTATAGAGTTAAAAAGAGTACAGAGAGCATTAGCTGACTAATGTGGAGGTACCAGGATCAAAGGTAGGTCCAAGGCACTACAATGAGCCATGAGCTCCTTGCTGTGTTCTGTATAAATGAGATGAATAAGGCACACATACAATACTTGGTTATCATCATAGTTGAAGCATTTTAACAAGAGACCCCAACTATTACACATGTCTGGCCCGGTGGTCTGGTGGCTAAAACTCCCGCTTCACACACGGAGGGCCCGGGTTCGATTCCCGGCGGGTGGAAATTCCGACACGTTTCCTTACACCTATTGTCCTGTTCACCTAGCAGCAAATAGGTACCTGGGTGTTAATCGACTGGTGTGGGTCGCATCCTGGGGGACAAGATTAAGGACCCCAATGGAAATAAGTTACAGTCCTCGATGACGCAATGACTTTCTTGGGTTATCCTGGGTGGCTAACCCTCCGGGGTTAAAAATCCGAACGAAATCTTATCTTATCTTACTTGTTGGTATTGTATGCCCTTATTAAAATAAAGGAGATAAGATAAGATAAGATTTCGTTTGGATTTTTAACCCTGGAGGGTTAGCCACCCAGGATAACCCAAGAAAGTCAGTGCGTCATCGAGGACTGTCTAACTTATTTCCATTGGGGTCCTTAATCTTGTCCCCCAGGATGCGACCCACACCAGTCGACTAACACCCAGGTACCTATTTGCTGCTAGGTGAACAGGACAACAGGTGTAAGGAAACGTGTCGAATGTTTCCACCCGCCGGGAATCGAACCCGGGCCCTCCGTGTGTGAAGCGGGAGCTTTAGCCACCAGGCCACCTGGTGGAACAAGATTTAGATAAAATGAAACAAATGTTAATTCATTCAAATAAATATTAGTGAGATGATAAAGCAATCACTGACCTTTAGCAGCTCGATCAGGCACGATATTTTGTGCACGAAGTCTCTGGTCAATAATATACATCATCTCCCCTCCCAAGTTAAGGAACTGTAGAGGTAGTGCACGTAGCGACATAATGGTTTAATAGTTGCAGTGGTTGTAGATGATGTTAATGCTGCTAGTGTTGTAGAAGCTAATTGGTGACCTTGTTGTGCTTGTGGGAATTATAGGTTTTTAAGTTGCTCTTTCTGTTGCTGTTGCAAGGGTTATTAATTTTGCTCTTGTTCCTGCTGTGATTTGAAATAATCTTAATTAGAATTCTTTAATACTATAAATACACCAGCATTCTGTAGGATCACAGTAGTCATGATTCATCATTTGCATCACAATGTCCTGTCTTAACAGCAGACACAAATATGTCTCCATCAATGACATAACCTCATAAATTCGACATCAGGGTGTTAAATAAAAAGATACAGGTGCAACTAATGGAAAAAATGTCACATTTGTTGCAATTGTGCCCATTTACCTAACATATTGTTGGTAATTCTACCAATATTATTACATCATAAGGTGCCTCAGGGCAGTGATCTCAGCCCTCGAGTTTCCTCGTATACATTAATGACCTTCCCAATGAATCTCAAGTACACAACCTTTGTCATCTCCCATTCTGTCGTTATAAGTTAGAATTCCATGGAAAATATTATATGAAGGAAAATAATGTATCCTCACACTCTCTCTCCCCTTCAGTTTGATCCCTCCCATCATCCTTTCTTCTCTCTCTCCTCTCTCTGTACATGAAATTTCTTGCCAAGAATGCAACCAGTCATATGCAATGAATTCAATAAAAGGAGGCATGTTAGATATGCATAAGACAATTCACCATGAAAACTTTTAAATAATTATAAATAAAATTTTATAAATAAGATTAGGCTGTTTTACCCTGCTTGTGATAAATATAATTTATCATGAGCAGTTTCTATCATGTATATCCGAGAAAAAAAAAAAAAATATGCGTTGAAGTTGTAAACTTGTTTAAAGGCCAGTGGGGGGCCACGAGGACCCGGTGGGGGGACACTAAAGGAAACCGGGTGAGGGAAAACCAAAACAGTAAAGGGACATTTGAGGGGACCGGGTGGGGGGCCCAACTGAGGATCAGGTGAGGGGACACTGAATCAGGTAAAGGGGGACACGGATAAAGGGGGGGGGGAAAAAAGGGCCAGGGGGGGAACACGGGGATCGGGTGGGGGGAAACGGGGGATCAGGTGAGGAAAAGGGAGGATCAGGTGGGGGGACAGGGGGCCAGTGGGGGGGACACGGAGGACAGGTGAGGGGGAACACTGGGGGATCGGGTTTGAGGGGACATTTGGGGGCCAAAAGTGAGGGGACACGGGAAATCATTGGGGGGGAACACGGAAAAATCGGGTTGGGGGGACACGGGATCGGGTAAAAGGGAAAACACTGAGGATCAGGTGAGAGGCACTGAGGATCAGGTGAGGGACACTGGGGGAAATCGGGTGGGGGACACTGAGAAATGGGGGGTTTGAGGGGGACACGAGAAATCAGGTGAGGGGACACTGAGAACGGGTAAAGGGGCCCACTGAAATAAGGTGAGGGGACACTGAAAAATCCAGGTGGGGGGAAACACTGAGAATCGGTGGGGGACACTGAAAAACCCCGGGTAGGGACATTTGAGGATCAGGTGAGGGGAAACACTGAGGACCCCAGTGGGGGGACACTGAGGATCGGGTGAGGGACACTGAGGATCAGGGGGAGGGGACACTGAGGACCCGGTGAGGGGACACTGGGGGATCAGGTGGGGGAAAACCTGAAAATAAATTGAGGGGAACGGGAAATCAGGTGAAGGGAAAAACTGGGGAAAAGGTGAGTGACACTGAGGGCCGGGTTGATTTAAACACGACGGCCCAGGTGAGGGGACATTTGCCCGGCCAAAGGTGAGGGGAAAACTGAGGGCCGGGGGAGTGACACTGACGGCCAGGTGGGGGGAACACTGAGGGCCAGGGAGTGACACTCGGGCCCCCAAATTTAAGGGTCACTTTTTTTACTGTCCCCCTCCCCACTTACCCCTTTAAAAAACCTTCAATTTTTTTCGTAAAAAAATTAAACTAAAAATTTAAAAAAGGGGGTTAAATTTTAAAAAGGGCAAAAATTATTTTATGAACAAAAAAAATGCAACTATTCACAAAAAATTTTATCATTGATTTATTTTTAAAATTTTTTTCCCATAAATAAAAATTTTTTTAAAAATTTTTTTGGAACTGCAGCAGTAACCAGGGGTAACCACGCCCGTGACTTATATTTTTCCTAAAAAAATTTTTAAAAACCCAAAGGGGAAAAATGACATTCAAAAGATTTTTTGGCTTTTAAAATTTTTTTAAACCGGGTTTTTTTTTTGTACTTAAATATATTTAAAAAAAAGGCGATATTTTCACATTAAAGACCAGTAAAAAACAAATAAAATTTAAAAAATTATAACCCTTTTAAAAAAGGAGAAAAATTGATATGGGGAAAAAACCCCGGAAAAAATTTTTGGGCCCTCTTTTGGAGGGGTTCCTTGACCCACAAGGGCTCTTAACCCAAAGAAATTGGATTTATCTCCACTTTTTTGGGATAGACCTCTGATTTTGCTTCCTGTTTCCCTAGGCGAAAATATGACCCCTACAGATTTAGCGCCCCAATGAAAAATGAAAAATTTTTATTTTTTAAAGTTTTTAAAGCACTCCCCATGAATGTATTAATAATAAAAAATAATAAAAATCAAAAAAAAATAAAATAAAATAATAAAAATAAAAAAGGGGATGATTTTTGGTCGCTGGTGATTCTTTTAATTGGTGACAAGAAAGGAGTTTGCTGTTGATCGCTGGAAGATTTTTGTGTGCGGGACCCCCCCGGCCGAAAAGGGTTTTTTTCCAAATTTTTTTTTTATATATAAATAATATTCTAAAATCTTTGGGGGTGCGTATACCCTTGGGGGCTTAGCGCTTTTTTTTTATTATAATAAAAAATTAATCAGGGGGGGGCGCAAAACCCCATAGATTATCCCCGCATGAGGGGAGGATGGGACCAATTCGGGGCTAAATTTGGGGAAAACTGGGGGGCACGATCCAATTCCCTAACCAAAACCCCCCTCACCACATAAAGGGAAAACCTCCCTTGAGGGGAAGTTTTTTTTTAAAAAAAACTCTTTTTTTCCCTACAATACATGTAAAAAGGGTTTATCCCAGCCTAGTTTTGACTTCGTAATAAAAGTTGGTAGAATTACCGAAAAATATTAAAGAAAAAGGGAAAACAAGGCAACAAATGTAAATTTTTAAATTGTGGCAACTTTTTCGCTCTCCAGGAGTTTTAAATCAAGCCATTACAAACAATACCGGAAACAGGGGGGTAAAAAAGGGCTAAAGAGTGGGTGCAATACTATAGGTACCAAAATCGATTTTTCACTAGGGGTAGTGGTAGTAGTAGTAGTAGTAGAAGTATAGTAGTGGGGGTATTGACCAAAAGTAATACAAGGGGGGAAGAGAATTTAAAATTCGTAAAATAGTAAAAGATATAAAAGCAATTATTTTGGGTAACAAAAAAAATGGGTTTGACAAAATAGAGGGGAAAAGAGGCAGTTTGTTTTCAGTTTACATCTCTGTAAGTGCTTTTGTAGATAAACAGAAGAGACTATGGAATGGCAGGGTTTCCCTTTTTTCAGGGAAATTCTTGCTAAACTTGGGAGAGGGGTAAGCTGCTTTTGTTTTGTTTAATTGTTTTTGAAACGCGATCAGGCGGGATTCAAAGGGCACTTTCGCCCTGGGGAAAAATTATTTTTCTTTGATAAACTAATTGGGCGCCCTCTGAACTTCATGGAGTTTGGTTGGTGGAATTTCGGTTTTGGGACACAGGCGTTGTTCAAGTTTATGGGGTCCTACTGCGTAAATGTGTTCATTGGGGCGGTTTTGTCGATTTTTATTGCTGTTTCCCAACCCCCGGTAAATCTTGTCACACCCTTTTCCACGGGTTTATAGTGAAAAACCCCTTTAAATTGGACTTTTTGGGGTTTTGTTTGGGAAATTTTGCCCCGGTTTGGATCCTTTATTGAAGGCTAGAACCCGATGGCGACCGGTGTTAGTTTGGGTTTTACTTTACGTGGACGAGGTCCTCGAAATAACTCCAAAACGTTTTAAATGTACGGGATCTCGGGAAAGGGGCTCAACGCAGTTGAACCCGGCGATCCAGTTTACCCCTAAAGAAATTTCCAGTGCCCAACCCTTATTTCCTTTTCCCGACGCCTCATTCACAAATTAGACAAAAACCTAAGTTTTTCAATTTTAAATGGGAAACCCACCTTTAAAAATGATCTCCCCCACACATCTATTCCAGCCCAAGATACCAAACCAAAAGGGGCATCACCTGGGGGTTTTTTCCCTAAAGCATACCAAAAATTTGTAGTCCTGAGTTTTCTTTAAACGGGGAAGGGTACATACATTCCCCAAAACATTCACTGAGTTACTTTTTCCCTTTTCTTTTTTCATCAAAAAAACCCAAGAAAGAGCTCTTCAATAAAATTAATTCCCAGAAACAACACCACCCTGCCCAAAGTTATAACCCCTTCCCAACACCCGGTTCCCGGGAACGTTTCAAAAAGTACTTGCACAAGCTAACCCAGAGTCGCCACCCGCTTTTTCCCCCTTTTCAATAAAGGATCCAACCGGGCCCAAAATCCAAGCCCCAACAAAACTAACCAATGCGGGAGTTTACACTATACCCTGTGGGGGCTGTGACAAGTTTTACTTAAGGGGGAAAAAGCAAAAAACCTCGAAAACCCTCCTAAAACGAACACATTTACGCATGTGGGAAAACGAAAACTTGAACAACGCCTGTTACAAACACCAAAATTTCCCCAACCAATATCTCATAAAATTTTCAGAGCCGCCCAATTAGTGATAAAAAGAAACAAATTTTCCCGGGCAGACGAAAGTCCCCTCAAAACAGCACGGATCGCTTTTTTAAAAACCCAATTTAAACAAAAAAACGGCAGCTTCACCATCCCGAAGTCTTAGCAAAAATCCTCCTAAAAAACAGTAAACCCTGCCATAAACCATGTCTCTTCTGTTAAAAACTACACAAAGCACTTACAAAGGTAAAACATTTAAAAAAGGGCTGCCTTTTTTTCCACCTATATTTGTCCAACCTTTTTTTAGTTCCCCCGGGAAAATACTTTTAAACCCTTTTTTAAACTCATGTACAATTAATTGCTCTAACCTTTAATGTATTACTTTGTCACAAACCCACCACTACTACAACACTACTTACAAATACAAAACTACTCCCAAACACCACATGAACTTTGGGATAGGTACCTCCATTTTTGGGCACCTCACTCTGAGCCCTTTATATACCCCGGGTGTCCGCGTATTGTTTGAAAATTTGGCTTGATAAAGTTTTCCCTGGGAGCAAAAAACTTTCCCAAAAAAAAATTTTAACTTTAGTTGCACTTGTGCCCCTTTTATTTTTATTTAGCTACATCATTGACATACTTTTTTATAGAAAGAAAGCTTTTTATAAGAGCTTTTTCAGGAAAAATTTTAAAGATAAAATTTTTTTTTCCCGGGGAAATGCGATCCCACACCAGTCAACTAAAACCCCAGGTACCTATTTGCTGGTAAAAACCCTTTTGGAATAAATACTGCCCAAGTTGGTTTAAAAAACACACTTAACAAACACAAATAAAAAGTTTTTTTAGAAAACTTTTTCGGCCTGGCCCTTTGATCCCTTCTAAAAAAACAAAAGGGAAAAAGACATTATATATATGGCGGAAAAGTGAAAAGTGACGCACGGACCTGGGGAATGTCATAAAACAAAAAGGGGGAGGAAAAACCCTGTAGAAGGCCTACGGCTCATCAAAGGCGGGGTCTTTAATTAAACAACCTAATCTATGATGGGGAACGGGTAGCCTTTTGAAATCATGAAAACTCCTGTGTTGTTGGGTTGGTG